AAGTATAAAACAGGCGCGTTCAGGTATAAATGGCATATAGTTATAAACCAGCATTACCTCCTCGCACAGTTACTGTTAAAGCACCTGGAATTTCTGTGCCTGAATTTCTGGCTCTACACCCGGGGGCACACAGCATTTTGGTATGCTCACCCTGGACTCTCTCCTCACCACCACCAAGGTGCCTGGCTCTGCTCTTCCAAACTCACCTGCCAAATAGCACAAGTGGCCACTGAACAGAAAAACTGTGAGTTTCCCATGGAAAAGGTTTTCCTGGAGTATTGAATCAAAGTGGAGAGTGAAGAGTGATAAGTACTTTCTGTGTGTACAGAGCAAAAAAGATATTGTCCCTAAAAACCTCAGCTACTCTTACAAATGCTAATTGTGGGGATGTGGCCAGGTGAGTATGGGTGGTTGTTTATTCAGGTAAGTGTCATGCATAGAGAAGAAACATCCATTATTATGTGCTATCTCTGCTTTCTGGAGCCTAAAAGCTCTCCCATATGAGGTGCTGAGGGTTTTCTTCAGCACCTGTGGAAGTTAAAACCCCTCAGATTTCACAAAAGTGGATTTCTGTTAATATTGGTTTTGCACATGTGCCAGCACATGCAGCAGTCCTAGAAAAAGCAGGTGCTGGATGAAAAAGGCATCAGGTCCCCTGTGAGTCAAGTGAGCCAGATGATCTGTGACCCCTGCTTGGGGATTGCCACAGCAGGTCAGCTGGGCAAGGCTCAGGTCGGGTCCTTTGCCCAACGCACACACAGCTGCACAGGTTTTCCAGTGATGTATCTTGAAGCAGCATTGTCATTGAGGAAACCTGCTGAACTCAGCCTTTGGGTATTAAACCCCTTGAGGAAGCCGCCTTACCTCTTCCAGAGCTGTGATCTCCTCCTGCCCAATTTCACTATCATGCTACTGCTTCAGGCCAATGAAGTTGCAAAGAACTGCTACAATGCTTCTAAAAAGAAGTCTAAAAAGCAATTATGAGCTTTGAGGAACCATTTGAAGGGGCAAGCATTAGTCCAAAAGGCATCTTTCACAGGTTTAGAAGCTGGGTACCGCAAACAGGGTGTTGGGCACCAACCTTTAGCACTGAGCTTAAAAAGGAGTTTTGAACTGTATGTTTTTAGGTACAGAGCTTGACACCGACTGTGCAGAGCAGGCCAAGTGGTGCCCATCACCAATAGCTCTGCTCAGCACACAGATACTTTCATGGCTGTGCAGGGACAGCAGGGGCAGCCCGGAGAGGCACAAGTCCCCCTTATAACACCATGTTTTTTCAGAAGAGGGCAAAAGCAGACTGCCGGAGGGAGAAGCTGAAAGCAGTACCTCTCAAAAGAAGAGGAACACAGCTATAGAAGAATAATGATTTTTCCCCTCACCTCTTGTAGTTATTTAGTGCCATCATCCCGTGCCAAGGAGCAGGGACTGAGATGGACTGAAATACCACCCAGACCCCAGCAAACCCCTCCTCCCAGTGCTCAGCCTTCCTGCTAAGCTGACAGCCAAACCTGGGCAACTGGAGGGACCCTGAGCACATCCAGATTTTTGGAGGATGGAAGATGCTCCAAAGCCTCCATCCTTTGCCAAGAGAAGCACTTAGTGCCATTGAGAAGGGTGCAAATCAGTCTCAGCAATAAGAAACCTACCTGAGTTTTTCTTCTGCAGAACAAGCCACTCACTACTGCCTCCCACCAAGGGCTTCAAAAATGTTTTTACTTAATTCAAACTGTCTCAATATGTATTTCTCTAATAGACCATCCACCAGCACTTCCCCGTTAAGAGATTGGGAAATGTATTCCGAGGTCACAACCATTGCTATAGTCAAGCAAAGGCACAATTTGACACATGAATTGCAATGCAATTCTCAGTGGGACTAGTAAAAATTATTATAAGTGAATATTATCATCTTTTCGGGGCTTCTTTTGGTAATCCTTGCCTATTTCCCTGCATCCTTATGGTGGATTTAGAAGGACTGCTGTGCAGGGTTGCTTTGGGGATGCAATCCTATCCCTGTGCTGAGCTGTGTGGGGAGCCAGGTGTCACGCTCCCTCTCATCAATAACCCACCATATGTCACTCTGCAGCAGGCTATGTCCGTATATGACATCTTATACTACATTCACCCTTCTTAAATTATTTTATGACCCTTGCTTTGATCTCCAGGGTACCCCTGATTTGGGAGAGTACAGAGCTGAAAACCTCTGGCCAGTGAACCATGCATTTCTCCCTTATGAGTTGCTTTCTTCTGACAAAAAATGGTGGCAAACCATAGCCATCAGTGAAAATCCCAATGCTGTTTTTCCGGGGTGATTAATATAGAAGCCAGCGCAATCTGGGCTTAGTTTACACTGTTGGCTATAATTAACCTTTTCTTTTTGGAAGTTAAGAGATGTAAACTTCTTCTTCATGAAATGGAAAGGCAAGGGGTATTTCAGAGGTTTTATGCCTTGCTTTAAAGCTGGTCCACATGGAAGGAGATAGAACAGGTATGTGGCCTTTTCAGCTTTTGTAGGATGCACAGAGAAGGGGCAAGAGATTTCCCTCCCTTCCACCACTGAGTGATGAGTATTTTCAATAGTGGCTTTAGTTAAAAAGGGTTGGGTCTTACAAGAAACATTTTTTCAGCCCCCTGCTGTGATCATTAGCAGCATTGAGGAAGATCAAGCCTGATAGCCTTCAAATGTTCAACTTACTAAAAGCTACCCCTCCTTTTCCTCAGAGCTCTCTCCTCCCTTGCCCCTAATAACACATTCCTGCTAAAAGCCATCCAGTCCCACCCTGAAATACAAGTGGTGCCGGTTCCACTCAGCCAACCTCCGCTGCACCTCGAGTGTGAGTGGACAGGGTCCCTGCCTTAATACATGGGATGTTTCATACTCCAGTAAATCCAGTTTAAACACTTGCTTTCCAAAGATCTTGGATCCAAAGGGCTTAGATAAAAAAAAAATCCTAAAGGAGATTTAATGCTTGATATACAAATGTGAAGATGCTAGAGCAATTCCAAATATATATTTAAGATATGAATAATTAAGTACCTCAAACCAGCAACAAATATGAGGAATGAAGGATGTGAATATGATGACTGAAATGAGTTTCCTTCAATTCCCAGACTCAGGACTGAGAAAAATGGGGAAGTCATCCCCAACCATCCTTAAACTCTCAACATTTTGGCCTAAAAGCAACAGTTGTAATAACAGAGAAATTTTTGTAAGAAATGAACCTCCTCACATAGAGCATGATCTGAAAATATCCTTATGCTATCCGCAGTGTTGGACAACTTGCCACCATCCTCCCCACCCCCGAGAGTGCCCATGGGATCGGAAGCTGAGGAGCATCCCGCATCCAGCAGGGCCGAGACAGGGTTGCTGCCACTCTCAAGAGCTCCAGCCAACCCCTTTGAATGCAGGTCCAGTGGCAGACTGGCTAGAAGGAAAATGGAATTTTAATTTCACTTTTTTTCCCGTGTCATCTTTCACAGCAGAGCAGGGCCTTGGGGGGGAAGGTGCTGTCCCCAGAAGCACAGCAAACTTCCTCCTAACCCTGTTGTGAAACGCTCAGCAGAGGAACAGTTGAACACTTGAAAACTTCAAGACTTTAGAGACTTGAAATAAGCATCTAAATTGTTAGATTTTCACCAGTTGTGGGGGGTGGGGGGCAGAGGGAAGTTTGGTGTCATTTTAATTGCTTTTAATCAGGGTTAAATTTAAAACGAGTCTTTTCAACAACAGAGTAATAAACCCGGAGGAAGAAGGTTAAGAAAGGGTTTGATTTGTCACGGGGGAGGGGAGGTTTCGTTGGGTTTCTTTAGCCACCGAAAGGCTGCAGCGTTACTCGGGCGGGAGGCGGAGGGAGGGGGACGTGTCCCTCTGCTCTGCCCTCGTGAGGCCTCGCCCGGAGGCTGCGCCCGGCTCTGACCCGGCACAAGCAGGATGTGCCCGCCGGACCGGCACGAAGGGGCAAGGAAGCAGCGGGCACAAAGATGCTCAGAGGGCCAGAGCACCTCTCCTATGGAGCCAGGCTGGGAGAGCCGGGCATGTCCAGCCTGGACAGGAGCGGGCTCCGGGGGAGGCCTCACTGCGGCCCTCCAGTGGCTGAAGGGGCCTATAGGAAAGGCAGAGAGCGATTTCTTCGCATGGGCAGTCAGCGAGAGGAAAAGGGGGAACGATTTGAAACCAGAAGAGGGAAGATTTAGATTAGATGTTAGGAAGAGCTGTGAGGGTGTCGAGACACTGGAGCAGGCCGCCCAGAGAAGCTGTGGATGCCCCATCCCTGGAAGGCGCTATTCCAGGCCAGGCTAGATGGGGCCCTGAGCACCCTGGTCTAGTGGATGATGTCCCTGTCCATGGCAGGGGAGTTAGAACCAGATGATCTTCAAGGTCCCTTCCAAGCCAAAGCATTCTGGGCCTCCACGAGGGTGCAAAGAGGTCACCGGCTACCAGACCATGGAATGTTACCAAACGGTTGCCATGCGGGCTTCCGCACGGAGGGGTCAGGAGCCCAACACTCCATCGACAGTTGGCAGTTGGCGGATACTCTGCTGGGAAGCAGGTGCAGAGCCTCTGTCTTCTCTGTCCCTGGTGGGAACAGAAGGCGATTTGCTGATCATTTTCAAGAAAAATTCTCAACTAACTGTACAGGTGAGTGTAGATGATCTTTGAAAATGTTTTGGATGCTGTGGGGCTGTTCTGGGCTTCAGGTCCAGCTGCAGGTGTCTGGGACTCAAGTACCGGACTCAAGTACCAGACTCATAGATTTCCCCTCTAGCTTTGGGCAGAAACTGGTGACTCGGGAAAGGGAATCTTAGAGTATGTGTGGGTATTTAAGAGAACAGGCATTCCAGATAGGTAATCTCCTCTCTTCTTTTCTGATAGGTTTGGAAGAACATCATTCTCTGATTCCTAGAAATCAGGACTTTGTAGCCTGTTCTACCTAAGGAATCTAAGGGATCGATTGCTGTAACTTCCCTGAAATTCCTTTTTTGGTGTTTGTCCATCTGACTTTTCCAGTGGTTTTAGATCACAAGACACCATGAGCACAGTAAGTACTTTACTACTCAGTGCAAATCTGATTTCTGAAACATATTTTCTGGGGTACTTCTAGAAAGGATTTCAAGAGTTTTTAGCAAGTGCACGGGAAGATAAGCCTGTTAAAACTTTATGGAACTTCATGTTCTGGGATACTGAAGGTTTTGAATCTCTTGGGGTGCTAGCAATAGCTCAGAAATGCTTACAGTGTGAGCAACACCCTGATAGAATTGTGAACTAGTCTTCTTATTTGCAAGCCACTGGGATAGGCTTTTTCCTGGTGAGGCAACTGGTAAGAGGTCAGGGGTGATGTCTTTTCCTTGATGCAATGGGCTCGGGTAGGAATGACCCAGAGCACCATTCAATGTGTATTCCAGCCGTTGTGGAGTTGTTTTCTGTGTCCTCGTGTACTTTCACTGGTGTTGCAAAACTGAGGGCCCCGTTAATATTACTCCCACACGAAATGCTAAGGCTTTGTTCTCTCTTAGAATCGGCGAAAGCGCCGTGGAGGAGCCGTTAATTCCAGACAAGCTTCGAAACGAAGCAGGCTGCTGGCTTCTAGTGCAGGTGAAGCTTCAGCAGCAGAGCCAATAGACCTCGAAGAAAGTCGCGTGCTTTCTTTTGATCTTGGTAAGAACAGAAACTGCTTCTAGAGGTTTGACATACAGCTGAACATATGCTTTTGCCAGTTTCTAGGCCCTTTACTGGGGAGGAAGGGAAACATGGGATTTTAGGAAGTGCCACGTACGGCATCTCTAAACAACAAGCCTTCTCACAACCATTTGGGTTTGTGACTGAGCTGTGATACATTGTCCACTAAAATGAGAGAGATTCCATGCTCTCATGTGAAAGAGAATGAGAGAGAATTTCCACTAAAATGAGGGAGATGAGCTGTGTATCAAAGGTCCTCAAGTGCTGCTCAGACATCTGAATGAACTCTGATGAGCTGGCAGGTGCCACAGCTGCCACTACAGAGGGTGGCAAACTAAGTATGAGATCTCTGAAGCTGGAAGAAGATAAGGAAAAGCTAGCTGTGCCCCATCCCTCAGGGGAACATGTGCAGCATGGTACTGTAAAATTAGGATACCCTCTGTGATTCTGGTTCTGCTTTGGGTTTTGTTTTGGGTGTTTTTTTCTGTCTGATAAACATCAGCCTATGTTAGATGATTCATCTGCTGGTGTGTACCTCCCGCAAGATATTGTTATCCAACAGGATTGTGTGAGAAGTTCAGCTGCTGTTCCTCTTGCACTGCCACCTGTGAAAAAACAGGGCTGGGAATGGTCTCTGTGGACTGTTGAGGGCAAAGCTGGAGTGAAATTTTGGCCACATTCCTGAAGAGAAGAGACCCAAGGCACAATTGAATCTACCTCAGCCTGTTCCACAGTGACAGCCCATTTCTCTTTTTCAGCTGTTGACGAAATCATAGATCTCACAGACGAATCTGCTGAGCCTGAAGTCATTGATCTAACTGGTGATGATTCTGTTGTGGTAAGTAATGAATGGCACACTTCTGTCCATCTTGCAGTCAAATGAGTTTTCTCGTGTGCTCCTGGGCCTATCTTCTGGCATCTAACTAGGTAGCCTGACCTCCAGGGTTGAAACACAGCTCTGATTTACCACTTTAGACAGAGTTACCAGTCAAATGCACCTCTGAACACATCAACACTTCCAAGTATCCCTTGTAGTGAAAAAGTAATTTAAAAGAGCCTGTTGCTCCAGAACTAGGGCACAACATTTACCAGTCATTGGTAATGTAACAGAAGGAGATGCAATTTAAAAGGGAAGTTATTCCAGAGATACTCATCATACAGGCCAGGGATTTAAAGAAAAAGAGAAGGAGAGGACAGGAAGACTTTGACTCCTCAAATATTAAGTGTTTACCTGCAACATCCATTTAAGGTACTCCTGGTCACTGAGGTGTTCATCTAATATGAAGTGTTTATGGCTATCAGTGCTGAATTTGCCTGTTTAGGGCAGAAAGAGGGAAAGAAACACCTCCAGCCTAAATCCAATTGGGGAAGTGAAAGAGGGGAGCAGGGAGGAGGGGCTACATGTGGTTCCTAAGCTGCCTCCATTTCGACCCCGTTGCAGCAGTGGGAGCAGAACCAGCAGCACCCAGTTGTTTCCAGTGCAGCAGATAATTCAGTTGTGCTACTGACAAGTGATGATGAAGAGGAACCAAGAGATAATGATGAGTATGTGACAGATGAAGTGTCTTTCTACAGTCTAATTTCTGACACAGGGTAGAAATAGGTTTTTGCCAAGGCTTTGAGTTCTGCTTGATTCTGTGTGAAAAATTCAGACCTGGAATATAGTGGCCTGTCTGTTTTTAAAAGCCCATCCAAAAAACCAGTAAAATCCAGCAGAAAGCTTTTTTATCTCATTAAGGAATTAAGGAATGGATCTTACACTGTGGCTTGAGACACACTGAAATGCTTGAAGTACATAAAAGCTCTTGAAATGATTGTGTTGCTGGGCTGGGATGTTGCTAGATCAGAATAAGGGATGTTTTAATTTCTGACACTTTCTGTGTTGGTAACCCTCCATGCACTGTGAAATTAATGGCTGCATTTTCTTTCAAGTTCTCTTCTTCTAACACACGGCCAGCAGCTCATGTTACCTCTCCAATTTGGATAGATGACTACTCAGAGGTATGGATCCACCTGTTGTTATCCTTTCAGCTTTATGGGAGGGCAAAGAGGACAGAGGGGGATCTGCACAGCTCAGCTGGCTGATGTGGGATGCTACGGGCAGCTGGCTTGAGCACAGACCTTGCTTTGGAGCTCCAACTAGCACGTCCCTCCAAGTCACTTCTCAGGGGTGTACACACAGGGAGGAACCCTTGCCAAGATGGCACATCTGTGGGTTCCTTGTTATTCTGGCAGATACTGACTGATTGCAGATACTCCAAGTCCTATTAGCCTGGTGCCAGTGCAGCATCAAAGCTGAATTCTTTACTCCAAACCCCTATTGTGGTTTCCTTTCTTCAGCAGCCGTTCATCTAACATGGATTGTTTATGGCTATCACTGCTGAATTTGCCTCTTTGGGGCAGAAAAAGGAAAAGATTTGGCTGCAGCCTACATCCAATTAGGGATCTGAAAGAGGGGAGCAGGGTGGAGGGGCTTCACATGGTTCCTAAACTGCCTTTGTTTGTACCTCGTTCCATCAGTGGGAGCAGAACCAGGAGCACCCACTTGTTTCCAGTGCAGCAGACAATTCAGTTGTGCCACTGGTGAATGATGATGAAGAGGAACCAAGAGATAATGATGGGTATGTGACAGATAAAGTAACTTTCTAAAAGTCCAATTTCTGACATAGGGTGGAAAGAGGTTTTTGCCAAGGCTTTGAGTTCTGCTTGATTCTGTGCAAAACTCCAGACCTGGGATGTAGTGGCCTGTCTGGAAGAGAACTAACTAAAAAACCCCAAAAAATCCAGTAAACCCCAGAAGAAATCTTTCTTCTCTCTTCATGAAGTCATTAACAGATGGATCTTACACTGTGGCTTGAGATACACTGAAATGCTTGTAGTACATACAAGTTCTTGGAATGATTGTGTTGCTGGGCTGGGATGTAGCTAGATCAGAATAAGGGATGTTTTGGTTTCTGACAATTTGTGTATCACTAACCCCTGATGAGTGGTGCAATTAACAGCTGAATTTTTTTCTTGCTCTCTTCACTCTACCACAAGACCCAGTGCTACCCTTACAAACGTGGTGGACCAGGATTGCTTCCTAGGGGTAAGAATCCACATGTTGCCACCTTTTCATTTTCTGTGGGAGGGGGAATGGAGCAGGGGAGGAGCTGCATAACTCATTTGGCTAAGATGGGATGCTAGAGGCAGCTGGCTTGAAGCACAGCCCTTGCTTTGAAGCTCCAAGTAGCACATCCCTCCAAGTCACTTCTCACGGGTGCCTGTAGAGGGGGATCCCTCGCCAAGATGGCACTGGAAGATCTGTGGGTTCCCGATAATTCTAGCAGTAATGGACTGAATGCAGACATCTGAGTCCTATTTGCCTGGCACCAACACAGCAGCCAGGCTTGAATTCTTTACTCCAACCCCTCTTGTGGCTTCCTTTCTTCAGCAGCTGTTCATGTCATACGAGTAGTTACGGATATCACCCTTGAATTTGACTGGTTAGGGCAGAAAGAGGGACAGAAACACCTCCAGCCTAAATCCAATTGGGGAACTGAAAGAGGGGAGCAGGGAGGAGGGGCTACAGGTAGTTCTAAGCTGCCTCCATTTCGACCCCGTTGCAGCAGTGGGAGCAGAACCAGCAGCACCCAGCTGGAAACCCAGTTGTTTCCAGTGCAGCAGATAATTCAGTTGTGCTACTGACAAGTGATGATGAAGAGGAACCAAGAGATAATGATGGGTATGTGACAGATGAAGTGTCTTTGTACAGTCTAATTTCTGACATAGGGTTGAAAGAGGTTGTTGCCCACAAAATCTGCTGCAAAATGCAGCAGAAACCTTTCTTCTCTGTTCGTGAAGTCATTAACAAATGGATCTTACACTGTGGCTTGAGACACACTGAAATGCTTGAAGTACATAAAAGCTCTTGAAATGGTTGTGTTGCTGGGCTGGGATGTTGCTAGATCAGAGAAGGGGATGTTTTAATTTCTGACACTTTCTGTGTTGGTAACCCTCCATGCACTGTGAAATTAATGGCTGGGTGTTCTTTCTGGTTCTTTTCTTCTAGCACACGGCCAGCAGCTCCTGTTACCTCTCCAACTTGGATAGATGACTACTCAGAGGTATGGTTCCACCTGTTGTTATCCTTTCAGCTTTATGGGAGGGCAAAGAGGACAGAGGGGGATCTGCACAGCTCAGCTGGCTGATGTGGGATGCTACGGGCAGCTGGCTTGAGCACAGACCTTGCTTTGGAGCTCCAACTAGCACGTCCCTCCAAGTCACTTCTCAGGGGTGTACACACAGGGAGGAACCCTTGCCAAGATGGCACATCTGTGGGTTCCTTGTTATTCTGGCAGATACTGACTGATTGCAGATACTCCAAGTCCTATTAGCCTGGTGCCAGTGCAGCATCAAAGCTGAATTCTTTACTCCAAACCCCTCTTGTGGTTTCCTTTCTTCAGCAGCCGTTCATCTAACATGGATTGTTTATGGCTATCACTGCTGAATTTGCCTCTTTGGGGCAGAAAAAGGAAAAGATTTGGCTGCAGCCTACATCCAATTAGGGATCTGAAAGAGGGGAGCAGGGTGGAGGGGCTTCGCATGGTTCCTAAACTGCCTTTGTTTGTACCTCGTTCCATCAGTGGGAGCAGAACCAGGAGCACCCACTTGTTTCCAGTGCAGCAGACAATTCAGTTGTGCCACTGGTGAATGATGATGAAGAGGAACCAAGAGATAATGATGGGTATGTGACAGATAAAGTAACTTTCTAAAAGTCCAATTTCTGACATAGGGTGGAAAGAGGTTTTTGCCAAGGCTTTGAGTTCTGCTTGATTCTGTGCAAAACTCCAGACCTGGGATGTAGTGGCCTGTCTGGAAGAGAACTAACTAAAAAACCCCAAAAAATCCAGTAAACCCCAGAAGAAATCTTTCTTCTCCCTTCATGAAGTCAGTACAGTGATCGTGACACTGTGGCTTGAGATACACGGAAATGCCTTGCAGTACAGACAAGTTGTGGAAGATGTTTTGCTTTGCTGGGGTCTGGGATGTAGCTAATCAGAATAAGGGATGTTGTGGGTGTCTGACAAGTTTGTGTATCAATAACCCCTGATGAGTGTGGCAATTAACAGCTGAATTTTTGGCTTGCTCTCTTCACTCTACCACAAGACCCAATGCTACCCTTACAAATGTGCTGTACAAGGATTGCTTCCGAGGGGTAAGAAGCCACATGTTGCCACCCTTTCCATTTTCTGTGGGAGGGGGAATGGAGAGGGGAGGGAGCTGCATAACTCATTTGGCTAAGATGGATGCTACAGGCAGCTGGCTTGAAGCACAGCCCTTGCTTTGAAGCTCCAAGTAGCACATCCCTACAAGTCACTTCTCAGGGGTGCCTGTAGAGGGGGATCCCTCGCCAAGATGGCACTGGAAGATCTGTGGGTTCCCGATAATTCTAGCAGTAATGGACTGAATGCAGACATCTGAGTCCTATTTGCCTGGCACCAACACAGCAGCCAGGCTTGAATTCTTTACCCAACCCTCTTGTCGCTTCCCTTTCTTCACAGCTGTTCATTGTCAGACGAGTAGTTACGGATATCAATCACCCGTTAATTTGACTGGTTAGGGCAAAAGAAGGACGAAACACCTCCAGCCTAAAGCCAATTGGGGAACTTTGGAAAAAGAGGGAGCAGGGAGGAGGGCTACAGGTATCTAAAGCTGCCTCCATTTCTACCGCCGTTGCAGCAGTGGGAGCAGACCGCACAACCCACTGGAAACCCAGTTGTATTCCAGTCAGCAATAATTCAGTTGTGCTACTGACAAGTGATGATGAAGAGGAACCAAGAGATAATGATGGGTATGTGACAGATGAAGTGTCTTTCTACAGTCTAATTTCTGACATAGGGTTGAAAGAGGTTGTTGCCCACAAAATCTGCTGCAAAATCCAGCAGAAACCTTTCTTCTCTGTTCGTGAAGTCATTAACAAATGGATCTTACACTGTGGCTTGAGACACACTGAAATGCTTGAAGTACATAAAAGCTCTTGAAATGGTTGTGTTGCTGGGCTGGGATGTTGCTAGATCAGAGAAGGGGATGTTTTAATTTCTGACACTTTCTGTGTTGGTAACCCTCCATGCACTGTGAAATTAATAGCTGTGTGTTCTTTCTGGGCGTGTTCGGATATCGGCGTTCTGGTCTGACTTTCTGTCTTTCTGGTCTGGGGGATCTGGTCTGAGGGAGGGCGCTGGGGGGGGGGGGGGGTCTGGTCTGAAGCCGGTTCTAGGGGTCTGTCTGGGGGCGAGGGCCTGGTCTGGGCTGGGATGTTGCTAGATCAGAGAAGGGGATGTTTTAATTTCTGACACTTTCTGTGTTGGTAACCCTCCATGCACTGTGAAATTAATGGCTGGGTGTTCTTTCTGGTTCTTTTCTTCTAGCACACGGCCAGCAGCTCCTGTTACCTCTCCAACTTGGATAGATGACTACTCACAGGTATGGATCCACCTGTTGTTATCCTTTCAGCTTTATGGGAGGGCAAAGAGGACAGAGGGGGATCTGCACAGCTCAGCTGGCTGATGTGGGATGCTACGGGCAGCTGGCTTGAGCACAGACCTTGCTTTGGAGCTCCAACTAGCACGTCCCTCCAAGTCACTTCTCAGGGGTGTACACACAGGGAGGAACCCTTGACAAGATGGCACATCTGTGGGTTCCTTGTTATTCTGGCCGATACTGACTGATTGCAGATACTCCAAGTCCTATTAGCCTGGTGCCAGTGCAGCATCAAAGCTGAATTCTTTACTCCAAACCCCTATTGTGGTTTCCTTTCTTCAGCAGCCGTTCATCTAACATGGATTGTTTATGGCTATCACTGCTGAATTTGCCTCTTTGGGGCAGAAAAAGAAAAGATTTGGCTGCAGCCTACATCCAATTAGGGATCTGAAAGAGGGGAGCAGGGAGGAGGGGCTTCACATGGTTCCTAAACTGCCTTTGTTTGTACCTCGTTCCATCAGTGGGAGCAGAACCAGGAGCACCCACTTGTTTCCAGTGCAGCAGACAATTCAGTTGTGCCACTGGTGAATGATGATGAAGAGGAACCAAGAGATAATGATGGGTATGTGACAGATAAAGTAACTTTCTAAAAGTCCAATTTCTGACATAGGGTGGAAAGAGGTTTTTGCCAAGGCTTTGAGTTCTGCTTGATTCTGTGCAAAACTCCAGACCTGGGATGTAGTGGCCTGTCTGGAAGAGAACTAACTAAAAAACCCCAAAAAATCCAGTAAACCCCAGAAGAAATCTTTCTTCTCTCTTCATGAAGTCATTAACAGATGGATCTTACACTGTGGCTTGAGATACACTGAAATGCTTGCAGTACATACAAGTTCTTGGAATGATTGTGTTGCTGGGCTGGGATGTAGCTAGATCAGAATAAGGGATGTTTTGGTTTCTGACAATTTGTGTATCACTAACCCCTGATGAGTGGTGCAATTAACAGCTGAATTTTTTTCTTGCTCTCTTCACTCTACCACAAGACCCAGTGCTACCCTTACAAATGTGGTGGACCAGGATTGCTTCCTAGGGGTAAGAATCCACATGTTGCCACCTTTTCATTTTCTGTGGGAGGGGGAATGGAGCAGGGGAGGAGCTGCATAACTCATTTGGCTAAGATGGGATGCTAGAGGCAGCTGGCTTGAAGCACAGCCCTTGCTTTGAAGCTCCAAGTAGCACATCCCTCCAAGTCACTTCTCAGGGGTGCCTGTAGAGGGGGATCCCTCGCCAAGATGGCACTGGAAGATCTGTGGGTTCCCGATAATTCTAGCAGTAATGGACTGAATGCAGACATCTGAGTCCTATTTGCCTGGCACCAACACAGCAGCCAGGCTTGAATTCTTTACTCCAACCCCTCTTGTGGCTTCCTTTCTTCAGCAGCTGTTCATGTCATACGAGTAGTTACGGATATCACCCTTGAATTGTTCATGTCATACGAGTAGTTACGGATATCACCCTTGAATTTGACTGGTTAGGGCAGAAAGAGGGACAGAAACACCTCCAGCCTAAATCCAATTGGGGAAGTGAAAGAGGGGAGCAGGGAGGAGGGGCTACAGGTAGTTCTAAGCTGCCTCCATTTCGACCCCATTGCAGCAGTGGGAGCAGAACCAGCAGCACCCAGCTGGAAACCCAGTTGTTTCCAGTGCAGCAGATAATTCAGTTGTGCTACTGACAAGTGATGATGAAGAGGAACCAAGAGATAATGATGGGTATGTGACAGATGAAGTGTCTTTCTACAGTCTAATTTCTGACATAGGGTTGAAAGAGGTTGTTGCCCACAAAATCTGCTGCAAAATGCAGCAGAAACCTTTCTTCTCTGTTCGTGAAGTCATTAACAAATGGATCTTACACTGTGGCTTGAGACACACTGAAATGCTTGAAGTACATAAAAGCTCTTGAAATGGTTGTGTTGCTGGGCTGGGATGTTGCTAGATCAGAGAAGGGGATGTTTTAATTTCTGACACTTTCTGTGTTGGTAACCCTCCATGCACTGTGAAATTAATGGCTGGGTGTTCTTTCTGGTTCTTTTCTTCTAGCACACGGCCAGCAGCTCCTGTTACCTCTCCAACTTGGATAGATGACTACTCAGAGGTAAGGATCCACCTGTTGTTATCCTTTCAGCTTTATGGGAGGGCAAAGAGGACAGAGGGGGATCTGCACAGCTCAGCTGGCTGATGTGGGATGCTACGGGCAGCTGGCTTGAGCACAGACCTTGCTTTGGAGCTCCAACTAGCACATCCCTCCAAGTCACTTCTCAGGGGTGTACACACAGGGAGGAACCCTTGCCAAGATGGCACTGGCAGATCAGTGGGTTCCTTGTTATTCTGGCAGATACTGACTGATTGCAGATACTCCAAGTCCTATTAGCCTGGTGCCAGTGCAGCATCAAAGTTGAATTCTTTACTCCAAACCCCTCTTGTGGTTTCCTTTCTTCAGCAGCCGTTCATCTAACATGGATTGTTTATGGCTATCACTGCTGAATTTTCCCATTTGGGAGAGAAAGAGGGAAAGTTACACCTCTGGGTCAAATCCAATTAGAGATCTGAAACAGAGGAAGTGGTAGAAGGGTGTTCAGATGTTATTAAGCTGTCTCTGTTTTTACCCCGTTCCATCAGTGGGAGCAGAACTAGCAGCACCCTCTTGCTTGTTTTCAGGACAACAGCTGACTGACTATTACTTTGAATGTCCTTAACCAAAATAAGAAGTCTATAGCCTACCATTCTTTGCCTGTTGTGTCGTAACTGCTTCACTGAGCTGGTGTTAGTATGGAACACCAGGCATGCACACCAGATTCTAATTGTATTTTCTTTTCTCTCCCTTCCCATATGCATTGGTGAAGCTTCTTGAAGGTGAGTTGACTTTTTCCAGTTGCTAATGGAATTGTCCGAAATGTAATCCTTAGTTTTTATTTGTCTTTTCCAACAGTCTCTAGTACCAGGGATTGAAAGTGCATTTAGCAGAAGGCAAAGGACAGTGCTAAAGCCTCTGGCCAATGTCTTAGAGAATGGATCCCATCTGTGTCTGCTAGCTGCTATCAGACACAGTGGAATATCCCTGCAACAGAAGTTGTAGCTGAATACTCTTGCAGGAAAGAACTTTAATTTGGTGACATTTTCTGTAATTTTAATTGATTAGTGCTGGATTATTGTTACATGGACACTGGAGTTGCAGAGACCATTGTTGCATGCGGTTTCTGAGAATTCAAAAGTGAACAGCAGGTCTTGATCCTTCAGATGTTAGACTAGGCCACTCAAAATTGATCTCCTTTGAACTTGGGTGATAAAACTCCATTTTCAAGTTACCTTAACTGAGGAGGGAGATGATGGCAATTTCTAGGGAGACACTGCTTCAAGTGTTTTTATAATTTCCAAGGACTGTTCTCAATAAGACTCGTTTGATAGAAAGTGCCTTTGAGTGGGGAGGTTTCATTTAACACAGACAAAAAGAGGGCAACAGTTTAGCATCATACAGCAACAAGGAAGCACAGCAGCTCCAGAATGTACAGTTTTAGATTTAAGCATTTATTCCATCCCTTCTGAAACTTTTGGAACAAAGCACTCTGTGTTTTGCCAAGCCTTTTTCTTGTGTATGTGCTACGTCACCATGCTCCTTGGGAACTTGACTGCAGTCCTCTCTCCCCTATCACACAGCAATTGTTGCCATTCCTTACCATAGGATCACAGCAGACCGTATTAGTAAGAATAGTGTGAGAGACCTTCCCTTTATAGGGCATATTTATTCACAGGTAGTGTATCTCAGCGGACACTGAGAATCTCTCAGGTCACGTTTTAACTGTTTGTAGGCTGATTATAGCAAATGTTTTGTTTCTGTAGCAGAATAGTCTCAATGTGTGGAAGGGTTCAGCCTTAATATTTAGGAAACTACTTGGTTTGAGATTGCTTGTAACCCAGCTGAATAGTGTCCAATTCAAATAGGACCCATTACAAACTATTTACAATAACGTGTTTGAAGGATAGTTCCAGGGAAAAGGAGAGAGTAAATGATAGATCTGACTTACCAAAATTAACTTTCAGGGTATGAACAACAAAGGAGAAATCTTACACCAAGAAGCCAGCAACTGTTGGACAGCCCTGTACTGCGCAGTTATGATGAATATGAAACAGCAGATGATGTGACTGACGTAGAGTCTGAAGTGACTGACGTAGAGTCTGAAGTGACTGACATAGAATCTGAAGTGACTGACGTAGAGTCTGAAGTGACTGACGTAGAATCTGAAGTGACTGATGTAGAATCTGAAGTGACTGACGTAGAATCTGAAGTGACTGACGTAGAGTCTGAAGTGACTGACGTAGAATCTGAAGTGATTGACATAGAGTATGGAGCGGCTGACATGGAGTATGGAGCAGCTGACATACAGTATGAAGCAGCTTATGTAGAGCCTGAAGTACGGAGATCACTGGACGAGGAACTGGCAATTTCAGAGTACGTACGCCCCGTGACCTACCAAAGAGTGATTTTTGCTTCTTTGAAGGCTTCACTTTACTTGTTTCCCTGCTATTACTTCAAATCCTAGAGCAGGGTGGCTGACTTCATCTTTCTCCCAGTGAAAACCAAGACACTGTTTCCTTTAGGACAGGGAGATCTGAACTCTTCCTTACATGCAGCAAACTGAGAGAGTTAAAGACATACAGGGTTCTTCAAAAGAAATGCATCGTGGCTACTCAGTGCAGTCAGATGATTATGTGACATTTTATATATGAGTAACCCTCGATGCCCAGTGGTATTAATGGCTGCTCTTTCTGGGTCTGTTCTCTCTAGGGAATGGCAACGAGCTGTAAGGTGCCCGATCTGCATGGATTTTTTTTCACAGGTAAGGATCCACATGTTGTCATCCTTTCAGCTTTGTGGGAGGGGTAACAGGGCAGAGGGGGAGCTGTGCAACTCAGCTGACTAATGTGGGTGCTATGGGCAGCTGGCTTGAAGCACAGACCTTGCTGTGAAGTTCCACAAGTCACTTCTCGGTGGTGCACATAGAGGGAGAAACCCTTGCCAAGATGGCCCTGGCAGATCTGGGGGTTCCTTATTCTAGTAATGGACTGATCCCAGATATTCCAAGTCCTATTTTCCTGGTGCCAGTAGAGCAGCAAACTCGAATCCTTTCCTCCCAACACATGTTGTGGTTTCCTTTCTTCCAGATTATACGAAGTGTCCGACAGGTTGTGTCAACCCAGTGTGGCCATCTCTTCTGCAGTCGGTGCATCGCTGTTGCCCTTGAGAATTCCAGGGCTTGCCCAACCTGCAGAACAGAACTCCCTCCCAGAGACTATCATCCCGTTTATTTCTGAGTACTTCTGTTTCTCAGGACAGAAGTATCCCCCCCAATCAGATGGATTTTTGGGGGTAGGTGGTGGAAAGACTTTTTTCTTCATGTACATAGTTCTTGTTGTATACAGTTCCATTTTTCCTGAGTTTAATTATAAATAAACTATTAATTTATTTAAATATAGTCAAGTCTGTCTGCTTATCTATGTTGGACTCTGCTGGTAGACAGAGACTTCTTTTAACAGGTGGAAATAAACTTCTTGGTTTGATCAGTCAGAAGCACTCGTTCTTTTCATCACCCTGTACTTTTTGATTTTGGGGGAAAAATGCTAAAGGCATAAGCTTTGTAGTTCTTGGGGCAGTGTGTGTTGTATGGTAAAAGGAAACGGGCAGTGCTTGGCGTGTGAGGGCTTCTGTTTCTCAGGAAAGACTCAGCTGAATGTTTTGGTGAAAATGTCCTGATTTCAGTACTTTGAGGATTGAACGAGCAGCAGGTTGTGCACACGTCCAAAGAAAAATATTTTCTTTGAGAATATAGCTGTGTAAGCTGCTGTGTTCAACATTTAGCCTGCAAAATACGTCTTTACCTGTGAGGTAAAGACAAAAAGCAACCGCTGGGGAGCGCATCACCACCATGATCACTACCCTCACTACCATCATCACCACCATCATTTACCTTTCCCACTCTAAAAGGGAATTGTCTGCAGAACAAGGAGCCAGCAGCAGCTCCTAGACCCTGGCTGCTGACGTGGTCTGGCAGCGTGTCCCCATCAGTGACAGGGAGATACAGTGGACATCGCCAGCCAGTGCTGACGGCATGTACCTGTCCAGATTTTGGGAGAAAGCGTCCTGCTGAGCACACAAGTTGTTTCTCTAACTGCCTGCAGGCCTAAGCAAGACCTACACTTCCCAAGCTCTGCTTTCAGTGCTTGCAAACATCTCCATCTGCCAGCTGGCCGTGGTACTTCACAGCTCAGGGGCTGTCGCTGCTGAAACATCCTACCCTGCATGTGAGTCTTCCACAAGGGCTCATCCTGCATTTCCCCTTGAAAAATTCAATTTCATCAGTGGAGTTTTCAGATCCTGCGGATGGAAACCTCAGGGAAAAATAAACTGTCACGGACTTCAGGTGCCATTACCTACCCAACCACCACTGGATGTGGCACACTAAGGGTTGACTTAAGGGCATTTGCAATCAGAATGCCAAATTCCCTGCTGCTTGGAGAGGAAAGAAAAAATAAAGACAGTTGCATTGTTACACTGACATTTCTGGTCTATTTGGATTAAAAGATAAAAGTTTGCTGCAAGTTGTCATATCTGAAAAGCACTGCTTCCTTCTGTAAAGGAACTTTTTAATAGGTATTTTAGGATAGGAATTCTTTAGTCCTCTATTGCATTTTATGGATTTTACAGGTTGCATATTTGGAAAGATGTACTTTTACTTCTTCCAACAAATCTCACACAAGTTCAATTCAAACCTCTGCTTTGATTGTTGTTTGCTTGTTTTACACCTGCTCCATCAGCAGCCAACGGGCCTTTGCCAAACCTGTTAAACCAAACGTAAAGCTGATATGAGCAGGAGTCACCTACACAGGTGGGGGCTGGCAACCAAGACAGAACATGTGTCCAGGCTGAGAAATTGCATATATTACCTTCTCAGTAACCATCCTGTTTTCACAAGATAGCAAAAAAATTTTCCTTTTCAAGCGAAAGTCCAGCCAACAGTCTAGAAAAAAAAACCAAACAGAAAGCAAACAAACAAACAACAACCCTCCCCAAACCAAACCAGACCAAAAAAAATAACCCAAAACCACACCCATGAGACAGCTGTGGTGTGAAATACAGGTTAAGAGCCACTCCACAGAGCATTTCCCCAGGTGAAATGACAGAAGGAAAAAGCCCCCCAAAGCCCCACCAAGAATCAGTGGGTTGGAGTCAAGACACCAAACTGCCTTAAGAAAGGAGAGCAAAAGCTGAGAGTATTATGGTTTAGGTTGGCATGTTATTGTCAATACAAGTAGTTGTAACCTAGCTCATTTCACATCTCTGTTATGAGGTAGCTGTGATAAAATGGATGGATGCAACATTTTTGTCAAGCCCAGTTGTTTTGGGGAAGATTATCTGCATGGCAGTAGATTTATAAATGTGGTGTGGGACCTATCTTCTCCCCTCAGCACCTTTTTGTCTCCAGGCTCATTTTAGCAGGGAAAGCAGTTCCAGATTTCCAGCTAAACCAGCCCAGGATTATCTCATGCCCCAGTAGCCTTTTTATGCATATGAAGTGACTGGGGCTAATTTTCTTAGTTCTGTGTCAGATGTTTTGTGTAGTTTCATAGTATTGCTTAACACAACAGACATAATCAAGAAAAGTAACATGATTGAGAGCCCAGACCTGGCATGCTGTAGGCTCACCTGTCAGAGGCTTGGGGTCATCATTTTTAGATGCTGACAGGGACGTGTTTTTCCCATGCAAGTGCACAGAGGTTGTCAGAGACCACTTCTATTAGCTGCCTCGAAAGAGAGGGAGGATTTGCTCCAGAAGTTTTCAGTATTTCTCTGGCACTTGGCTATGAAGTGCTGGAAATTGCAGGTCAGCTTAGCTAAACACAGACCAGTTTTGATTAATATGAGAGATGAATGCAAATGGCATGGTAGCAGTTGATGGGGCAGTGATGCTCAGAGGTGGCGAGAGGCAGTTTTGGAGGGTGATGCAACAAGTTTGTCTGCCAAATATTTCTGGTAAGGCAGCTGCTGGCAAATAGTTTCTGATAAGCCACAAACACCATGCAGTGGTGAACAATTAAAAAATAAAAATTAAAGGGGAGAAGTGAACATTATCCCAATATTAGCCTCTAAAAAGATGACCAGCAGTTACAACTTCCCTTGGTTTCCTGTGCACCCCAAGGATGCAGCAACCCCGCTGACTTTTGCAGTGTCAGGATTTCTCCTCCTTATACTTTGGGTTTAATTTAAGACCTGTGTAGAGATAGAAAGCTGAGCATGTGGGCAAAGCATCACACCTGACCCAGTCCTGCTCTGTCAAAACAGACTGTTGTCAGCAAAGCCACAAGGAGAAAGGCAGGGCTGTGTTTTCCAGATGCTGTAACCTGCTGCCCTGGAGCCGTAGGTTAGAGGGCTTCGACCCCTTGCACAAACAGTGCAAATCAATGTCGGTGGGGTTTTGGGAAATGGTTATTAATGTTCATGCTGTTTCCCCTCTTGGAGGACACAGAAGTGTTTTCAGAAAATTAAGGACTTTCACCTGCCTTGCATTGTGACTTGTGCCCTGCTGAAGTAGAATTAAACTCTCTCTTCTTCTGGAGGTGGGGACGTTTAGAGTTTATAGTCTTTGTGAAACTGTAAAAAGCTAGCAGAGGCTTCAGGATGCAACTCCAGGTACTACTATCAAGTTCCCCAGCCTTTAGAGAAAATTCTCCTCTTTGGGCCGTTTATGCCACCACTTTCCTCCCCCTGGTAGTCTTCACAGTCCTGGGACCATTCCAGTTCAAAACTTGGAAGTGCTCCCATGGAATTCGGGGGGTGCTGACCCCATTTAGAGCAGTGCTGTGGCCTGTGGACCATGGAGTGCAGGGCAGCTGTGTGACGTTGCAAAGTCCCTGTAAAGGTGTTTTCTTCTACAGTGACCACTGATGTCCCCCAGGAGGGATGATGGGGGTACTCTCTGGGAGGAAAAGCACAGCACAGGCTGTAGCAGCACACTCTGTCTAAGTGGAAATACAGCAGCTCAAAATTTGTCTTACAAGTTTATCAGTGACGACCTCAGCAAAGAGAGTCACCTGATCATTGATAAGCTCAATTGAGGAAGGTCTGCTGGTTTTAGTGTTGAAGAGTGCTGAGACCAGCTTGACCAAACTATCAGACCCCACCACAAGGACATGCAAGACAGAGGCTCCCTGACTGAGGCTGGGAGCAGCAAGGATGTGCAGGCCCTGATAGAAAACTGAGAGTCAGGAGTGTGAAGCAGAAGAAACTAGAGAGTTGCTAACACCTTTGTCAGCAACAAAACATATTTTGCTGAGTAAGGTGACAACACATAATCTAAAAAAATTACATATGACTGACAGTCAATCACTCTATACTTTAAAAGCCCAGACTTTTGAACGGTAGGATCTCCTAACAAACCCCTTCTCTGAATGTGTGTGGAGATTTCTCCCTGGAGTGGGAACGCCCCTCAAGGTTAGTCCTCGAGACTGAGCAAAAGAGATTTGCCCCTGGTCATTGCTATGAGTGAGTAACACCAACCTCTACTTAGTAATTGTTTTGTTAGCTTTAATATAATTACTTCAATTGTTTTATTACAATTACTTCAATATTGCTTGAAAAATAGTGTGCTATACTGATAGTTAAAGCTATCCATCCATATTGTGTGGTAAGTAATTCTGACAAAACTCCTTTTTTTCTATCATTATCATTACTGTAACCCATTTCAATAAATCATTCCTTTTATTTGTATAAATATATTTGGTTTGCCATCCTTAATCCTGCAGGACAAAGTTGTATAAAGGTCAATATAAACCACTGGAAAGTCTAGGGCTAAGACTGGATCCAGGTGCACGTAGGCTCCTCTCCGAGAAGGAGCTTAGAAAGCAATGGGGTTCTTTCCCCACCTCGTAACTCAATGGGAGGGCTTCTCTAATGATATACTTTCTCTAATAAACTTTGTCTGAAGCTCCCACTCTGCCTGTGACAGAGGTGCTGAAAACCCACCGCTGTCTCAAGTATCTCAGGGCCCACAGCAGCTGTGGTCAAGCCCTTCACACCTGCGTTTCACCTCTTGGAAGATATGCTGGAGAAACCTGCTGACTGCAGGTCCTGCACACATGGCTTGCTTTACACCCTCCTCCCGTCAGAGACTTGATCCCGGGACAATTTCTGGGCATGACAAGTACATGTTTAAGGAGGGATGGCAGTCGGACTTGGCTTGCTTTGTAAATAAACACCGGGGGTGTGTAATGCGATAGCACGTATACTTGGCTCCAGCTGGGCTGTTTCTCTATAGTGTGTTGTTTTGGTGTTCTGGACCAGAAATCTGTAGGTTTGGTTTTGTACCAGTGACTCAACCACTAAACTGCTTAACCTTCTCCACAGTCAGCGTCTCGGAAAAGCCAAACACAAGCAACTCGGACTGCCTGAAAGCATGAGCTGCAGACTGGCCTGAA